CTGTGAGATTGGTCAAAAACTAGTGAGAAAGCTCTAAATGTCGGCAGCATCACAAGGCTCGGTGGAGCTGAGCAATTCATCCTAAACCCGTGGAATTAAAAAAATACCAGAAACTCCCGGGAAAATACCAGACACACAACTGCTATGCACCTCATCTAGATGCTATGTGCTCATGCTACAGTGCCGACATCTTGATTTTGGTCTTGGAAATATTTAAAAATTTTATGAATTTTCAAGCACCCATTTATTTATCTACCTACCTCCCATTAAAATTTGCTGAGCTTATATTATGTACCAAATGTTGTTTCAGGTATTGGGAATGCAGAATTAAATGGGTATTGTCCCTAACCTCAAGGAACTCACAATCTAATGGAGAAAATACACGTAGAAGCCAGATAGTCACACTTAGTGCAGAAGTACTAATTTGAAGATATATATATGACATGATAGTAGGGAAGAAAGCATACATGATAGTAGGGAAGATTAGCATGAGGAATTGACCAGCCTACCTAGAGCCATCTCAGAAAACCAGCGGACAGGTTGACAAGGCAAGAAAGAGGGCCACTGTGAAACTCTTGGTTCAGGAGCTCCACAGCACCAACCATATAACCTCTTTGCCTGATAGGCAAGGCTCACTATTCCATAGTTGGCTGTCAATTCCAACTGATGGTTCCCAGAACATTTCTTGTTGTTTTATATGTTCGTGTCATTGCATACACTGTTTCTCCCACTTGATATCCTTCCTTCTTTCATTTGCCCTCCTATCCACCTGATATCTAGAATGTACCACCCTAGGATTTGGGATTGACTTCATTCTTCATTGGGCATCAGCTCAGTTGTTACCTATTCAGGGATATCTTTCCTTCGCACTTGGTGTAAAGTGGCAACTCCATCCGCATTCACCATCACATCGTTCTTTTTTTTTATTTTCATCATGGCACTTTTCTTATATTTTCGGAATCTGAATTTCTAGTTCATTTATTTCTTTCCTATATGTGTATACCTTGATTAACAAGTAAATGCCATGACACAGGGACTTGGACAGTCTCAGTCACTGCTGTATTTTATGGTCTAGAATCAAGTCTGGTGTGTAACAGGTGCTTACTAAATATTTGTTGAATTGATGAAATAAATAATGAGCAGACCAGTTTTTTCCACTAGGGTACATGCCTCTTGGGAGAAGGGCTCATCAATTTTTTCCTGCGTGTTCTACATACTTGGCATACTCTCTCACACATAGTAGATGCTCAATAAATATTTGTTGCCTGGATGAATGGGGGCCAAGGGAGTTCTTTCCATCATCAGTCAATTCAGTCATTTCCTCCCAATACAATTAAATTAAAGATTATTCGACACTACTTGGCACACAATTTATGATTCCTGCTAGAAAATCAAATCAATACATAGAGAATCATTTTGGGCAAATCTATTTTGAGGAGACTTTTTATTGTTAGTAACTTTATCAAACAGTTTCACCTTTGTATCAGAGAGAGGTCATTTAGTATCAGATTTCCTAGTGGAGGAAGCTTCACTGTTCCGACCTCCTTTCTCCAAAGGCTCAAGGGGAGAATGGGTGGTGAGGAAGTCATTTTCTCTCTAAAACAACACCAAGGTCTGAAACCTTCACTTGAATGGAAAGTAGTAAACAAATTTTGTTCTCTGGCACTATTATCTCCTCAGAAGGAAATTTTCTGACCACCCTGTTTAAAGTGGGTACCCCCTGCCACTGGCTCAGCTCCTTGTTTTTCCCCCATAATAGTATTGCTAATGTTTCATTATGACTTACCTTCTTCTCCACATACCTCCAAAGCCTGCTGTTTTGTAATCTTTGTGATGGCAGATATATATCTTCTTTCCACTCCTGCAATGCCAGCCCCTAGCACAATGTTGGGTACACAGAAGTCAATAAACATTGGTTGAAGAAGTAAGTAATGCTCGGTATAAGGCACACCCATTAGTAACATTTACCCTCAGGCCACAGTACACATATAAATGTGATAGTTTGTGATTTATGCATAATCTCCTGTGCACAGATGTAACTCCACATCTTTTTTCACTGATTTAGCAATTTGGTGTCTTGAGTCATCATAATAGCAAATCATTTGGATATAAGGTACAGTTTATGAAGGAATGTAGGGATAGCATGGTTCTTTAAGACTGAATATCTCTTTGGGAAGGTGTAAGTAACAGGCTCTGAAAATTATGTATGTTGATAACTTGTGGCTTACTGTTTGGGATTTCTTGGTCACCCAAACTCGTTGTGCATTCTTCTCTCTCTTTCTCAGCATACGGTTCATGGCTCAGTAGTGTAGGCATCCTCTGAAAACTTGTTAGAAATGCAGATTCAATCCTGCTGAATTAGAATCTATATTTTAATGTGATCTTAGGTGATGTGTGGAGTACGTTCAAGTCTGAGAAGCATTCCTTGATGATTAGATTAACTTCCTGCTTTCTCCCTGTTATTGCCACTAAATTAGCTTTCCCCTCTCCAACCACTCTCTTCTGCCTCAGTGCTCATGAATAACTGAGTTTCTTAGTGTCTTAAAGGTCTTAGTTCTCTGGACAGCAGTAAGTCCTCTGTGATGCCTGTGAGGCTTCCAGGTACACAAGAACTCACCTGAATGTGCACCAGACCTTTTATGAGCCCTTACATTAGAGCTTTGGTCCCGTAAAGTATAATTAAAGAGAAAAATGGTAATACCAATAATAACACATGTGTTAATATTTCCATGATTTTTTTTTCCTCTTTTCAGAGCGCTTAATTTGTGATAATCGTTGTGTTCCCTAAAAACTCAGGGAAGGGGGTAGAATTGGTGTTATATACCTTTTTTTGCAGGTGCAGAACTTAGGCTCATTGTGATGAGTCTAGCTCCCAGACAGCATACCTGGCACATCTTTTGACTCCCATTCTCCTCACGCTGCACAAACCAAATCAAGTAAAAAATGAACAGGGGGCATGTGATGATGCCCTCATGACAAAACATAGTAGCTGTTTAAAGATTTATCAAGTCATTGGGAGGGGCCGATTCTAAGCTTTAAGGCCCCAAGAATATATCTTCATGCCTTGAGGGCTTTTCATGCTAAAATATTTTATGAAACAGAAGAAAATCAACTGAGAAAAATAAAATATCTCAAATGAGAGATACCATCAGAAAGCCCCTGAAAGCAGTGTCACCAACATCATGACAGGTTTGCTTGGGTTAAAGTCATCAGTCACTGTGTTCTGCTGTTGTCTTTGAAAATGTTCAAGGAGAGCCAACTTTGCGTTTGCATCTCTTCAGTTTATGGACTCGAATGAGTTTTAGTTCAGATGGGATTGGTTTGGAATTAGGTGTTTTATGCCAGCTTTGGAATAAATCCTCAGGTATAGTTCTAAGGTGGCTGTAGTCTTCAGTGATGAGGCCAACTATTGAGTGGAAACCAAGACATTTTAAATTCCTACTCAGAATAAGCACAAGATGAATTGTTCTTATTTTTAAAAATCTTCCCTTTCTCAAGGAGAGATCGATTGGGCACCTTTGGCATCTTATGTTTTCTTCAGAACTTTGGCTACTTTTTTGTGTCGGGATGTAATGAAGCTCTTCCCATGTATGGGAAGGGGCACATGACTGACTGCTCGGGGTGATGCAGAGATTCTCTTGGCTGTGAAAAAACAGGAGCCGAATGACAAACTGGGCCCTGGCTTAGCTGGCAGATATTCCTTACTGAGCTTTCTCTGCTCTGGATACCCTGATGCGACTACCTACAGTCTTCCTATTCCCAGGCCAGATCTTACTGCCTGCGTCGCCAAAAATCTTGCACGCTGTTCATTTCCAAGTGCTTTGGCCCCTTTTTGGGTCCCTTCCTTTGGCTCTCTCGGCAGTGTCCCTAATTTGTTCTTTAGAGTTCCAGAACTAATGAAGCATTTCTTTCCTTTCAGTTCTTTTTTAAACACTCATTTCATTTCCTTATCCATCTCCCCTTCCTTTTGCTTTCCCTCTTCTAACTCCTCCTCCTTCTTCTTTGTGACAGTCCTCTACTTCTTTTTGTTTCTCTGATCCATTTTTCATTTGAGATGAAGACCAGTCTTTTCCAGTGAAATCACAGAAGTACCAGGATATTATTTGAGACTCTGAAGCAATCACTGGAGAGCGTTATACTAGAGAGCAGCGTAGTTATATCGGTGACATCTAGAGGTTGGATACCATCTGTCTGAAACCTGGACCAGCCCACCTGTGAACCAGGTGCCTAGCACATGATCATAGAGTCCCATTGCCTCTGTTCTGTTCATGACAAGAATCCTGTACCTTCTGATCTTGTTGCTACACTGATTCAGCATTTTTACTTAGCTGCAATTGTGCAATTACCTACGCTTTATAACTTTCCCCCACTGTTTTTGATTTCACCATGATAATAGATTTCATTTCTGTGATTTTTGATAATTTGGGATTTACCGTTTAGTTCCCTTAGTTCCGTCTGTGGATAACATAGTTAGTCCTGACTCTGTGACCCAATCCTGGAGCTGCTTGATGGGGTTTTCATTCCTCCTACCTCAGCCTTCAGAAAGTTCTCATTTGACAGACCCAGGCCTTAAACTTCTGTTTCATAATTAAATACAGCCAGTAATCCATGTTCAAGAAATCCTGACTGATGGAATGAAGGACAGAGCTACCCCAGACATAATGAATCTGATTTTCTTATAAATTCTCCACCTCTTTATCTCTGTTAAATATGTATTAAAATTGATATAAATGAAGAAGGCAATAGGGAAGATATAGCTTGTTTTCTCCAATAGGTGTATTCCTAAAAGCATGTATAAATAGAAATCCTATGCAAGAATTCCTATTGATATAGCTTAGGAGATATTTAAAGAAATATCAGGATAAAACTTTTACAAAGTGTTTTAAAAAATAGTTTTTGTAGTCTATATCAGTCAGGATAGGCTGATTTATGCTGCAGTAACAAATAACTCCCTAGTCATAACAAACATATTTATTCCTTATACTTTTTGTCTAAAATAGGTCAGTCAGGAAGCTCTGGAAGTTTGATGGAAACTCATGCAATATGAGAAAGACTTGACCAGCTATGGCTAGCTTTGAAAGTGGAAGGCGGCCAGGAGCCAAGGAATGTGGGCAGCCTTAGAAGCTGAGAAGGTAAGAAAATGGATTATCCCCTTGGGCCTCTAGAAGGGAACACAGTCCTGCCAACACTTTGATTCTAGCCTAGAAAGAGCCTTTTAAGACTATAAGAACTAGAAAAGTAAATCTGTATTATTTTAAGCCATCAAGTTTGTAGTAATTTGTCACAGAAGCAACAGGAAATGAGTACACATGATAAATCTACTCAGAGCTTTTACTAGCTTTTAATGCTATTGCTATATCCTTAATTTAGTTTCAACTGCAAGGCAGAGTTTTAATCAGACTTTGTTGTTCAAAACTCTTCCTTAATTACATATTTTACAGTTTAAGTATGAGGAGTAGTCGTTTCTACACTACTAGCCCTTGAATTAGAGGACTCTCTAATTTCCTTTTTATTCTAGCTCGTAAACCAACCAGTTCATTTTTCAGCTTATCTTTACCATAAGCTTATCTCACTGTGTCATAGAGAGCTGATAGTGGTCAGCATGTTACTAACATTCTGTTTTCCAGCTCACTCTCCTAGTTGTCCTATTTTATCAGTATGGAGTATGCCTTCTACGACACTGCACATGACATTTTACCAAATATTCTGCATAACATGGATTACCATTCTTCCAGCTCCATGGACAGTTTTCTCACCACACCTTCTAATTAATGCTATATTTTTGTTATAGTGGGAGTTCATTTCTCTGTATTAATTTCTGTTGATTAGAAGCTGTATCCAGTCTACTCATGATGGAGATTATGGGAGAGGTTACTCTATGCAATAAATAATCCTAAAATCTTGGTGGCTTAAAGAAGGAAGGTTTAGTTCCCATTCACACTGTGTCTCTTCTAGGGGCTCTGCTACCTTGTACCATCTCCAGATTCTAACTCAAGGGCACAGAGAAAGAAAATCTCAAGATATATTTGTAAAGAGAACAGCAAATATTTGGTGAACAGAAACAATGACTACCCCATCTTTTCCCGACATTTGTAAATTCAGATTTATTATAGTAGGCCACAAGTATACTCAGAAATGGAAGCCATACCCTGAGAAAAGCTGACTCTGCAGAAGTATGTTTTTTTGCATATTTGCAATGGAATTGTATTTATAAATGTGATTATTCTGATTTCATATTTTTTTATTTTTTAATTAATTTATTTTTTTCTGACTTCATATTTTAAAAGCCTATTAGTTTACAAGACTATTTTAGAGTGTAAGGAATACTTAAAAAAAGACTGACATAATATCTCAACTTGACACTTCAGTATATATCCAGAAAGAAATCCAAAATACCAGCAAAGTAAAAATATGTAATTCAGTGTTATTTTATAGTGAGAAATTTGCAACACCCTATAGCCTTTTTTAAAGTACACACTATAATATTATGTGGCAATTATACAAACAATGTAAACATAAATATTAAATGCTAGAAATTGCTCCCAACCTGACATTAATTTAAGAAGTAGAATATAATACTGCACATATAGTTTGAACTTCAACTTTTATGAATATGTGCAGAGAAAAATGAGAGAAAAATATGAATACTAATAGTGGCTGTATATAAGTGATGGGATTATGGTTGGTTATGATTGATTTTTTTTCCATTTTTATTTTCCAAATTTTTTTTTAAGATTTTATTTATTTATTTGACAGAGATCACAAGTAGGCAGAGAGGCAGGCAGAGAGAGAGGGTGGGAAGCAGGCTCCCCGCTAAGCAGAGAGCCAGATATGGGGCTCGATCCCAGGACCCTGCCTTCTGCTGAAGGCAGAGGCTTAACCCACTGAGCCACCCAGGCACCCCTATTTTCCAAATTTTCTACAGTAACAACATTCACATTTATGTCCAAACCAGTAAACAAAGAACAATAAAAATGTATTCCTTTCTAAAAAGTATTTATGATGCCTTTTATCAAGGCCTGTCAGTAAAACTATTGAAATGGAGAACAAAAATTAAAACCGTGTTTGGCAGGCAAAGTTATAATCATGTCCCTCCAAAATCCCAATTACCTGGTATTTAATTAAACACTCATTGGAGTAGGCTGTGAGGATATTTTGAAGGTGGAATTAAAGTTCTGAATCCACTGACTTCTAAATGGAACAAGTATCCTGGGTTATCCTCATGGGCTCGGCATAATCACATGAGCCCTTAAAAAGAGAAGTGGCAGGGAGAAGAGTCAGAGAGATGTGGTGGTCAGAGATACTTGAAGCACGAGAAGGATGCCCACCCAGCCATCAATGGCTTCCAAGTCGGAGGAAGGGGACCATGCCTCAAGGAATGCCAGGTAAGGGATTCAGTAGCTGAGAACAGCCCCTCACAGTTAGCAAAGGAACTGGATAAGCATTAAATGGAGAAATCAGAAAAACCAAGAAGTAAGTCCATGGGAAATAAGATAATTATAAAAGTAAAATCAGCAGGATGCCTGGGTGGCTCAGTCAGTTGAGGATTGGCCTTTGGCTCAGGTCAAGATCTCAGAGTCCTGGGATCGAGTCCTGCATTGGGCTCCTTGCTCAGCGGGGAGCCTTCTTCTCTCTCTCCCTCTGCCTGCCATTTTCCCTGCTTGTGTGCTTTCCCTCTCTCTGACAAATAAAAAAAATCTTAAAAAAAAAAAAAAGTAAAATCAGCAATCAATTAGGGAATATAAAACAGTAGAATTTATTAATGATTTTGAAATCTGATCCTTTTGGGGGAGAAATCCATTTTTTAAACAGTTTAATGCATACATAGCATTTTCAGTTAAAAAAATGAGACAAAAAGACAGAGTGAATGCAAAACTCAGATCAAGTAAGCACATAAAAACAATGTCAACCATTTTCAGAGAAATTATGAATTATCAAAATGATCATAGAAGAGGTAGCAAACTTAAGTTCCTAAAAAGCCATTAACAACCAGGAGAAAAAAAAAATTGGCCACAGTTTTATGAACAAATAGAAATTCTAACTTTTAAGGACCATATAATTCCCATGTTTTTGTACTATGTTAGAAGATAGAAAAATTTTGCTGTTTGCTTATTCTTTGTCACTAATAATTCAATTTGGTAAAGGGGCTCTCTTCCCACATAAGCACACTGAACTATACATAAATTCACTCATGAATAAACACAAAGGACCTAGCTAAAACACTAGCAAATCATGTACAGATATATATAAAAGAATAATAAATTATGACCAAATGGAATTGATTATAAGAATATAAGAAATACAATGTTGTCTGAAAAAAGAAGAGTGACCCCAGAATTGTGACCCTGAAAACAAATCTGAAAATATACAAGGATTTGGTATACAATAAAGTGATAAAAGAAAACAGAAGGAGTGCATGGAGTTATTCAAGGAATAGTGACTACTAATGGTAAACTATTTGGCAAAATAGAAGTGTTGATCCTTATCTCATGATTTATGTCAAAATGAGATAAAAGTTAAATAATAAAAGAATAAGAGGAGAGAGAGGGAGTAAGAAAGATAAATGATGGATAAACAGAGAAAGTAACTGGAGGAAGGTGCAGGAAGGGATGGATATCTAGAAATAATTTAGAAATGGAGAGCCCCAGTGGCTCAGTTGGTTAAGCATCTGCCTTCTGCTCAGGTCATGATCCCAGGGTCCTGGGATCGAGCCCTGCATCAGCTCCCAGCTCGGTGGGGAGCCTGCTTCTCCCTCTCTTTCCCATTCATGTTCTTGCTCCCTATTTCTGTCTCTCTCTCTCCAATAAACATAAATCTTAAAAAAGAAAAAAAAGAACATAGAAATAACTAAAGATAATGTGGGCAGATTATTTCTCTGAGAGATAGGGAAGAACTTTCTAAGCATAAAAGCAATGGGAAAAAGCGCAAACCTATCCATTGCGTGCCTGGGTGGCCCAGTGGGTTAAATGTCTGCTTTCGATTCAGGTTATGATCTCAGGGTCCTGGGATCAAGTACTGTGTTAGGCTCCCTGTTCATCAGTGAGGCTTCTTCTCCCTCTGCTTACCACTCCCCCTGCTTGTGCGCTCTCTCTTTCTCTCTGTCAAATAAATTTAGAAATTTTTAAAAAAAAAGGAAAAAATACCCATTGATTTAATTCTATATATATTACACATATATATAAACCATCTATATAACCCATCAGTGTCCGTGTCAAGCAACAAACCATTTTTAAAAAGGTGCCACAAATAAGAGACTGGGTTAATGTCCTTGATGTATAAAATATATTCAAATGGAAAAATATATGAATTAAAGAAGAGATACAGGGGCTCCTGGGTGGCCTGGGTGGCTCAGTGGGTTAAGCCTCTGTCTTCAGCTCGGGTCATGATCTCAAGGTCCTGGGATCAAACTCCGCATCGGGCTCTCTGCTCAGCAGGGAGCCTGCTTCCCCTCCTTCTCTCTCTGCATGCCTCTCTGCCTGCTTGGGCTCTCTGTCTGTCAAATAAATAAATAAAAATCTTAAAAAAAAAAGAGAAGAGATACAATTGATAAAGTGTGTGAGGATACTCTTGGTAGCTTTTGTACTAAGCAGAAAAGCTATGGTCTAGGCAAGAATGTCCTGGAACCACAATATCAAACCTAAAACAAGAAAGAATTCATTTCATGAGCAAAACAAAAGGAAAACACTCATTACAAAATGTTTTTTTGGAGTGAAATTATGTTTATTATTTTTACTTAAAGAATTCCCAGGTGAAAAAATACAGATAAAATCTGAGTAATAAAAAGGAAGAATTTGAGATGATAGACTCTAAAAAAGCATGATTTAGATGCATTTCTAAATTATTACATAATTCTTGCATCAGTACACCTGATGTAGGTAAAGCCCAAATTATTTTGTAGGGCAATCTCTGGTTACTGGTTCAAGGTGCAGCCAGAAACCCGGAGAATCCAAGTGCCAAGAAGGCCAGAGGGGTGCTGCTGAGAGCGCTGTGCTGGCAACCCTCTCTGTTCACTTAATATCGCTGAGTTACCCCGGGCTGGTGATTTAATATCTGCATATTCATGTTTATTCATTTGAAAAACAGACAACTATGGTTGTTGAGAGAATCAAATTATATAACCCATTCAGAATGC